GGCCCGAGCGGGGGCACCTGCCGGGGAAGGGCCTGCGGGTACTTCCAGCACGTGTGTGTGTGTAGATGTGCGTGGATGTGAGTGTGTGTGTATATATATGTGGATGTCTGTGTGCGCGACTGAGGGTATCTGGCGCCTTGCCGGCGCCCAGCACTGGCCCCGGCCCCCACGAGCTGCGGTTGCTGCCGCCAGCTGGATTAGTTCCAGCACACACACACACGTGTGTGTGTGTGTGTGTGTGTGTGTGTGTGTGTGTGGGCGCGTGCTGGTGTATGCGGGTGTACATCTGTGTGTGTCTGTGTGTGCAGGCGTCTGCAGGAGTATGTGTGGATGTATGTGTGTGTATATGTGTGTGCAGTGTGTGTTTATGTGCGTGGATCTTTGCATGTATATGTGGATGTGCATAGGTGTGTGTGTGTGTGTGTGTGTGCGTGTGTATATATGTGTATTGATGTGCAGGAGTTTATGTGCGTGGACCTTTGTGTGCATATGTAGATGTGTACAGGTGTGTGTTATGTGTACGTGCGTGGATCTGTGTGTGTGTATATATGTGTGTGGGTGCACGTGTGTGTCTGTGCATGTGTGTATGTGAGTGGATGCATGTCTGTACATGTGTGTTGTGTATGGAACTGTGTGTGTGTGTGTGTGTAGACATGTGCATGTCTCCTACTACACTGGGAGTAATGGCATGCACAATGCCCCATGTAGGTGCGGGCACAGCTCTGCCCCACTGGACCCGCTGGGGAGCCCCTGACTGCTCTGTGGCTAGAGGACGTGGGTCCCCCAGGTTGACAGAGCAGCCCTGGCAGCGAGGGCTGGTGCCTGCAGTGCCACGTATGGGCTCTAGGGGCCAGTGCAAAGCCAGCCCAGCTGGGCACCACCCAGCTCCCAGGCCAGTTCAGCCCTGGGTTTCACAAGGAGGGAAAACAGATGCATCTGGTTTGCTTTCCCTGAGCCACAGTTCCTCTATTTGCCTACATCAGTCCTTCTTCCTCTCCTCTCCAAATTAACCAGGCCCAGGGCACGTCTACACGTGTGCTTTAGTGTTTATACAGGTGCTCCGGGAGATGGGGAGTGCTTTAATTAGAGCAGCTCGGAGACAGCCTGGAGCATCAGGTGCATCAGAGTCCCCCCGCTGAAAAATGGTGGCCAGGGTGCTTTAACTTCCAGGAGCTGATACAGGGGGATGCTGATACATGTGACGCTGGAGTCTGCTGGAGCGCGGTCACTACAGTGTGCTCCCATGTGTTGTAATTACAGTGTGTTGGAACAGCCTCATTGCATGTGTATAGGTATCTTAGCCTATTTTAATGCACATTAAAGTATTATATAAAAGCATGTTTTACTTAATGTAAAATAGGCTAATGTGCATTAAGTATCACTTAAAAAACATGCTCTTTAATTAATGCACATTAAGCCAGGCTAATGTGCATTTTTCCTAGTACCTCACAATGGTTACTTATACATGAGCAGGGAGGATGCTGCTGCATGCTGTAATAATTAGAGCGGGTCGGAGTGTGGCAATTACTCTGCTCCAGCAGCCTCCACTGTTTTATATGTAGTAGCATCCTGGGCTTCAAAATGGTGGTGGGGACCTTGAACTAAAGCTCATTTGAGGAACTTTAGATAAAGTGCCATTTTGAAGCACCAGTGCTGATACACAAGATGCTTGGGGCACCTTAATTAGAGAGCAGAGCCAGTCTAATTAAAACACTCCTCCTCTCCTGAAGCACGTGTACAGTCGCCCCTAGGGCACCCATGCACATAACCTCTGCTCCCACGTATGCCAACTGGCATGCATGGGAGCAGACTCGCTGTGAGCCCCTTGAGTGTCTGTAAAGATCCCCCTAGGTACTAGATTCAAGGTATTAACTAAAGCGAGTTAATGCAGGTGTAGAAAGCCCAGTTTTTTTCATCCCTCCCCCCATGGAACTTCTCCCTATGTTCTTAATTGCCTTTACTGGCTTGTCTCTGCTCCTTGCTTTTTCTGCTAGATCCTTGCTGAAAAGGGCAGGACCAGATCTGGACACAGTAATGAAGATGAGGACGCGGCACTCATTTATACAATGGCATTAAATACCGACAGCGGTAGTCTCCATCCCTTTCTTAGCCCAGCCTGACAACTCTTGGTTTTTAACCCAGCCCTGCACGAGTACTACCGTGACCCTACACTGACACACACGAGAGCCCAGGTTTACTCACGGCATGTTGCTGACAGGTAGAAACTTTCCCCCATTATTTTTCAAGCACGTTTTATTACCCATCCGTGTTCGCGGCAGATTTCCCTTGCTTTGTGTGCATGGGGCCGTCCCAGCGGCAGGACCGGGACTCTGTAAGCTGCAAGGGAGAACAAGAGGAAACCCCGCACTGCTGCACCTGGCACCAAAGCACGGACCCGTGGGGCTCAGCTCTGCAAAGGTGCCAGTCGAGTGCCCTGGCTTCCCATTGACTTGGCTAGAGAGGGCAAGCGCTCAGCACCCTGGAGAGCGAAGTCCGGAGGGTTTAAAGAGGAGGTGCCTGCAACACTAGCTGCACGTGCTCGCAAGATTTGGGCAAAATCAAGTCACTGCCCCTTGCAGAGGAAACCAGGGAGCTCTCGCCAGTGCACAGCCCTTCTCAACCACGTTTGGGAGATGTGTCAATATAAGCCGTGGGAAGGCATTTGCGATGGATTATTTAACCAAAAGTTACCCCCAGCTCACCTATCCGGGAAGGCAAGGCGGATCCAGCCTGTCTTCTCAGACCGGATGGGCTATTGATCAGTGAGCTACAGGGGCCGATTCACCCTCTCACGGCTCTGCTACAAAGGGCTTAGGGATGAGCGTCATCAAAGAAACGTGTTAGGCTCATTTCAAAGCCCTTCTTCACAGGAGATCATTCAGCAGCCTAGCATGCTCCAAGCGAGAAAGCTCGTATTATTTATCCTGACTGCTGGCACACTCTGATCCAGGCTGCTCAGTCAGGCTCAGCCTCGTCCACTTCGTAGGTAGAGAGAGATGTTTTAACGCTAAGACTGCTGAGAATTGTGTGTCCATTCTCTCCCACTGGACAGGCTGAGCCTAGACTAAGACTGCCTTTTCCTCCCTGTCCCAAAGGGGAAATCTAACCTTGCCTGGTTCTTTCAATAGTGATCTTTATCTTCAGATAAGAGTCTTTTACCTGAAGCCCTCCAAGGACTTCCTTTTCACAGCACCCCTGCGGCAAGGGTAAATATGAATCTCCCCACTGTACAGATGACTAGACCATGGCATGGGAGAAGTTAGATGGCTCAGAGGCAGAGAGCAGCTTGCAGCAGTCAGAAGGAGAAGCTACACCTCAGGGCTCTCATTCCCCCCTGAGTCTTCTGTCCCCTCCAGCCCTTCAGACCTGCACAGTGGGAGCTTAAACTACCAAGTCAGAATGGCAAGATTTGCGATCCACCCTACACTTATTTTCCCCAGAGGCAAATGACTGTATAGGGCACGGGAGATCCAGGGGGTAGAAACAGGTGGGTCAAGCCACCCATTGAAGTTAAGGTTACTGTGATCAGGTTTTGAAGTCCTTGATATAACAAATCAAGACAGGAACCTAAACCTTTTCTGTGGGCAGGGTGACCCCACCTCTCCCAGAAGCTGAGCAGACAGGAGCACTCTTGGCTGGCATTGCTGAGTCTACCACACAAGGGGTTTTGCAGGCACAGCCTTATGACTTTTGCAGGGTTCTCAGTAGTCAGAGGAGGAGGTGTTCCAAGGTGCTAGGAGTTTACTAGTAGGTCTGAGCTCTCTCATCACTTAGGACTGAGGAACAGAAGTCCTACAGACCCGATGTTAGTCACTGGTGCATCAATTAAACACCCTCTCTCCAACTTTCTGAGATTTGTTTAGGTTTCTGTCTTGATTTGTTATATCAAGAACTTCAAAGTCTGATCACAGTAGCCTAGCCTTATCTTCAATGGGTGGCCTGACCCACCTTTTTCATTCAGGGTTACAGAGGTTTTGCTCACTTCTATTGCTACAGGAGCATACAGATGTAACAATTACATGGTAACAGCTGGTGCCTCTCTAAAGGGACAGCCCGTCCTCCCTTGCTGAACTGTGGAAAGCTAATGCCTTAGTCAATACTGCTACATTTATGCAAGTAGCATGTAGCTACTTGAAGCCAGACTTTCAAATGTATTTAGGAAGCTGGAACTCTAACTGCTCCCTGTGGCATCTTGTACTATTTCTCATATACCTGCAACCAAGTAAGGCCATCTTATGCATTTAAAATATTTAACCATCCTTGCAGTAAGAAAACTCTGCATCATTTAAAATGGCATGCTGGATCTTGTGACTGCATTTAAAGCATGTTTCCTACTTACCCTGCACAACAGTGCAGCCCCCTTCTCCAAATCTTTAATTCACCCTTTTGCTAGGTTTTGTCTAATTTAGGTCAGAAGCAGGGACTTTGTTGAGTAGTATGAGTATGTATGACATAACTAGGAAACTGTAACAGGAATAATAAGCTGAAATACTTAGGCTAAAATGTCAAGTCAGTGTTGGGAAGTCACCTGTTCCAATAGCAAGGACACAGAAGGGACATCAGCAAGGGGCTGGGCTGGGACAAAGCTCATGAGTTTGGAAAAAAGTCTGTGGAGGCCTGAGAAAGCATCAATTAATAGCCAAGCTAGGGAACAAGGTTGCTGCTGTGGAAAGAGACATGGTAAAGTGAAGCCAGAATAAAAGCTAGAAGCAGTGGCTATTCCACACCTATGAGAGGAATCAGGGAT